CAGAGATCCGCCTGGCTCTGCCTCCCAAGTGCTGGGATTAAAGGCGTGCGCCACCACCACCCGGCAAACTTGTCCTTTTTTAAACTTTAATTCATTGAGCCTTGAAATTAGGAGGAGGAGGAGGAGGAGGAGGAGGAGGAGGAGGAGGAGGAGGAGGAGGAGGAGGAGGAGGATGAGGCTGTTTTCTAGTTAAAACGTGGCTCTGTGCTAATTTCTGAATGGAGAATCCCTTTTAAGCTGAGAGAATGAACAGATTCAGGAATTTGGGGAGCTAACTTTAGGGTTTTTTTTTTTTTTGAGATAAGGTCTCACACTGTAGCCGAGGCTAGCCTTAAACTCATAGCAGTCCTCTACGTCAGCCTCCCGAGTGCTTGGATTATAGGTGTGTCGCCCCCAGCTTTCTGGAGAGCTAATTTTAACAGAGGGTTGGACAGGTCTGGATAGGTCTGGGTGAGTCTGAACTAGCCAAATTCTGCGAACAGGAAGAAGGCCGCCTGTCTGAGGCGCCACACACACTGGCACTGTGACAGAACCTGCGTGTTCAACTTACAGGGCAGCAGTGGCAAGTATTTTCTCTGTTCGATGCCGCTGTGTTCCAGAGACTTCAAGAATTTTATACAAGCACACTAGGCCGTCTTCTACTGAAAGGGTGGACACGTTGTTAATTGCACACTCTTGGGGTGTGTTCAGGTTGAACCTAAAGTTGCTGCTTTTCGCCACTTGCTGAGGGTTTAGTCACCTCTGCATCTTCATGGGGCTCTGACTGAGAGAAGGAGGCAACATTAATCATACTGCCTCACATTTATGACAGGCTTTAAAGTTCACAGAGAGATTTCACATCGATTATCTTTTTGTCCATCTCAGCACCCCTGTGAATTAGGTGTGGCAGGCATTACTAATGCTTTTGTTAGGCAGTAATTCAGAGTTGGACAAAACATCCCAAGGTTTAGTATATTTTTTAACACTCTTGCTCTAAAGGAGGCAGTGAGAGAAAAGCCAGTCACACATATGCTCCACTCTAGTAACAACTCTTTCTCAGAAGGTATTTACCCTGTGTTCTGTCAGTCCAAACTGTCTTGTAGTCCTAATTCTCATGCATGTTTACTGACATAAAATGAGATGTCACCCTTGGGAGATTCCCAAGGAGCAGGCTTCATGCACCTTCTCCAGAGCCCCCCATGGGAAACTTCAAGTCCACAGTGAGCCTCCTGAGGTGGGGTCTGAGTCATAACACCAGAGGCATGGGCAGGACTCCTGCTGGGGATTACAGTAAGCAAGGTAGGATGTTTGGTGTTTCCTAACCATTCAGCCACGCGCTTGGGCCTCGATGCTGTCTGTAGAGACATTTTCCTAGTTCCCCAAAGATGCCATTTCGAAGGAGTGGCATTGAGGTATTCTAAAATTTACCAAAAAGTATTTTCTGGGTCAAAAAACCCCTTCCTGATGAACTGTGATAGGAATCTGTAGCCACAGCGAGGGGCCTGTTGCTTGTCTTGACAAGAATGAGTTGATGAGGATGGGCCATGGACCCGATCACAGGGCTCTGTTCTGCGTGAACATCAGCTTGTGTTTTTGCTGCACCAAGACAATGTGGTTTTGTTACTGGCCTCATATTTGTCAAAATAATCTACAGCATTAACTCACAGACGTTCCTTCATGGTTGCTTGTGAACAACCTCAGTATTATGCTTCGAAGACTTTGTATAAAACCCTCTTTGTAATTGCTAATATGTAGGAAATAATTTCCGAGCCTTGTAGGATAGGCTGCCCAGGACAGCGTGTCTCCCCTGTAGCCTTTGGTCTTCACAAGCATGTGCCAGGTACTTCTGAGTCCCACTGCAGCTGCGATGGTCTTCAACCTGGGTTAGCATTTTGAAGGTGTCTGTTTTCTGCCCCACATAACTATTCATTCTTGGGCTAGGGTTGTATCTTAGCGGTAAATCTTAAGGGACATATAGCTTAGTGTTTGCCTAGCATGTGCAAGTCCCTGAGTTTAATCCTCAGCACTGACAAACCAAATGAACAAACATTTATCCATATTAGTATTTTTAAAATTTATTTATTTAGGTTTGGTTTATGAGACAGGGTTTTAAAATTATTTTTATTTAGATGTATTTGTGTATGTGTGTGTGTGTGTGTGTGTGTGTGTGTGTGTGTGTGTGTGTGTGTGCTTGCATGCACGCGCATCAGTGCAGTACCTATGAAAGCCAGAAAAGGGCATCAGATCACTTGGAACTGGAATTACAGGTGGCTGTGAGTTGTCCAGTGTGAGCGCTGGGACCCAAACTCAGGTCCTCTGGAAGAGCAGGAGGTCTTTTAACCAGTGACCCATCTCTTCAGCTTCATGTTAGTATTTTTGTTGCTGAAGTTTTCCTGTGTCCCACCTGGCCCATGGTCAGGACAAATCTCCCTCACCCACCAGTCCTGCAGCTCCTTGGACCCAAGTAAATACACAGAGGCTTATATTAAGTAAAATTGCTTAGCCATTAGCTCAGGCCAACCACTGACTAGCTCTTACATTTAAATTAACCCATAATTCTAATTTATGTTTAGCCACATGGCTTGGTACCTTTTCTCAGTTCTGCCTTCACATCTTGCTTCCTCTGTGTCTGGCTGGCGACTCCTGACTCTGCCCTTCCTCTTCCCAGAATTCTCCTAGTCTGGTCACCCTGACTATATTTCCTGCCTACCTACTGGCCAACCAGTGTTTTATTAAACCAATTTGAGTGACAAATCTTTACAGTATACAAGAGTATTATACTACAGCAATTTTTAAAGTTAGAAATTATTGGTTAATTTTCTGTGTATAAAATGGGGTAATTGATAGAGTTTGTAGAGCAGGCAAGATGACTTCGTGGGTAAACGACTCTCCGTGAAGCCTGATGACATGTGGTTGATTCCTGGAATTTACAAGGTGGAAGGAGAGAACCAACTTCCACAAGTTATTCTCTGGCTTTCATAGTGTCCAAACAAACAAACAAACAAAAATAGAATCTATGTATATAATTGTAAGGTCATTACCTTATAATTGTAGTCATACCCGTTGTCTTAGTCAGTGTTCTATTGCTGTGAAGAGACACCATGACTGTGGCAACTCTTATAAAAGAAAGCTTTTAACTGGGGCTCGTTTACAGTTTCAGAGGTTTATTTCATTATTCTCATAGTGGGGAGCATGGTGTCACACAGGCAGATGTGGTAGCTGAGAGTTCTACATCTGGACCCACAGGCAGCAGGCAGAGAGAGAGAGACGCTGTGCCTGGCTTGAGCATTTGAAAACCCAAAGCCCCGCCTCCCCACATGCTTCCTCCAACAAGGCCACACCTCCTTATCCCTGTCAAGTAGCACCACTTCCTGATGCCCAAGCGTTCAAATCTAGGAGCCTGTGGGGCTGTACTCAGCCACCACAGCCCTTAATTGTTTTATACCATTAGAATGGGTGGGAATGTGGCCGAGTGGACATTTGATTCTACTGAATTTTGGTTTTTGATACACACTTGAAAAGTGAGACTGACTCTATCTAAATAATAAAATATTTATTAAAACAAAGTAACTTTTTTTATAGGATTTTTTTGTTTGTTTTAGTTAGTTATCTTAGTTTTATTTATTTATTTATTTCATTTTTTTTTTTTGAGACAGTCTTACTACATAGCTGGAGCTGCCCTGGAACTCACAGAGATCCGCCTGCCTGTGTCTCCCAAGTGCTGGGATTGAAGGCGTGTGTCACCACTGCCTGCCAGAATTTTTTATCTTAGATGAATGTTTGGCCTTTATGTATGTGTGTGCATACATGGTGCCCAGAAAGGTCAGAAGAGGGTGTTGGCTCCCCAGAATTTAAGTTATAGTTGGACATGACCTATTTCTTGCATTAAATATACTGAACATGAATAAGTAATCACAATAAAAGGGCAGATTCAAGAATATTTTTTGTTTGTTTTGTTTTGAGGCAGAGTTGCCCAGTCTGGCCTTGAACTCTCCATCTAACTGCCTCGGCCTCCTGTGTGTTGGGACTGCAGGTGTGGGTGACCTCACCCAGCTTCACTCTGTCCACTTTCTAAGATCAAATACCTCCTGACAACTAGGAAGTAACTCACCAAGACAGGTGTGGTTGTACCAGGCCTTCTTTTGGGCCAACAACCAGCTCCCAAGTCATGACACGGAGACTATTGTTAGTTATGAGTGCTCAGCCTTACGTTAGATCTTATTTGAATCGGTATCTCTTCTTTATCTATGTTTTGCCTCTGGGCTTTTTACCGTTCTTTCCTTTGGTAGATCTTACTTTCACTGCTCCTCGAGTCTTGCTGGCCCCAGGCATGTCCCTCTCTTTCTTGTTCTCTCTTTCTTCTCTTCTCTTTCAGTCTTCTTGAGCCTAGGTTTCTCCTCCTGTTTATTCTCTCTACCCACCAGCCCCTCCTGTCCTTTCTTTGCTTAGCTATTGGCTGTTTAGCTCTTTACTAGACCAATCAGGTGCCTTAGGCAGGCAAGGTGAAACAGCAACACATTTTTACAGAATTAAACACACACAGCATAAACAAATGTAACACACCATCTTTACATAGTTAAGTACTCTACAACACATGGTGGCTCATGCCTGCTGTTCTAGTACTGTCAAGGTAAAGAGGGAGGGTCAGGAAATCAGGATCATCTTTGTCTACCTAGTAAGATCGAGGTCAGCCTGGGCTACCTGAGACCCTGTCTCAAAAATCCAAACACCAACTAAAATAAGAATTACCTTATATCACCACTGCATTGGCTTCCTCATGAATTACACAACCATAATGTTTCGTAAAACCCTGATGAAGAAGAATCTATTTTGATGAAATCTAAGTAGGTATTTGAAAAGGATGTTACAGAGTGAATTAAGACTTGTTCAGGGGATGACTGTGACATGACCTTTGAATGACCTCCCAGATGCTAAGAAATACCAATATCCTGAATGAGGCTTACAAAGGGTGTCCAGAAAGTGCCCGAAGCCTTAGTTACATGGCTCTGTTTGTTTCTCAGACTGCCTTTTCAAGGTGTGCCCTATGAATCGATACTCTGCCCAGAAGCAATATTGGAAAGCCAAGCAGGCGAAGCAAGGAAACCACACGGAGGCTGCCCTGCTGAAGAAGCTCCAGGTAAGTGGCTGCTGTCATGTTCTGACGCTGGCCTGAGAGCAACAATAACAAGCAGGCACCTGACGCCTGGCTAGCTGATTTCACCAGCATGTGGAGATTTCAGATAGAGCCTTGATGCAGAAGTAACTCGTTTTTAGTTGTAGGGCATACCTACTTATTTCCTGGCATGTGGGCAACACATCCCCACTGTCATTTTTTTTAAGGTATACAGGACTAATTCTAAGCTGCTCACCAAACTGAAAAGGAATTAAAAATCCCAATCTAATTATATTTTATTCCATATGATACTTTTTTTTCATAACAGACTTTGGAGAAAATAAATTTTTTTTTTGGTTTGACTGAGTATGGATTTGATAGTACTAAGTTTTGTATCATTTAAATTCTAGGTACTCTCAGAGTTGAAAGCTATACTTGGAGATTTATTAATTCACCTGCTTTTCTGACACTTTCACATCATGTAGTAGAAAAGTTCCTAATTCTACAGAGCTTTCCACTTAATTGAAATTTGCAGTAAAGAAAAAAATGGCCCAGGACAGGTTTGGCTGTATTCAGCATAGATTGCAAAGTTGCCACACTTGGGGTGGGGTGGGGAGATCTGGGAGTCTAGTGTAAATGTGTAAATCTGCCCCCAATAACAGAAAACTTCCTTGCTGGGCATGGTGGTGCATGCATTTAATTTAATGCATTTCAATTAAATCCATCCATTGCTCCATTTATACAGCATTCTTTAAAGAACAAAGTTTTAGAAATATAAAACAGATCTGAGGTTAGCAGAGGTTATGAGCAGGCATAGGTGGGGGATGCAGGAGGAGATGGATGCTGTAATACATGGAGAATATGACCAGTCCCAGGAGGGATGCTCTCTTTATCCTAACTGTGGTAATAGATATTCAAATCTCCATACATAAATGATAATGTATATGACAAAACACACACACAAGAGTCTAAATGAAACAAAGCACATGTGATTATATTATCCCAATTATATTAAGAATTCTCACAATTTGACAACAAATAAAAAGATAGCCTACTGAGAAGTGGACAGAGCACTCCCAGAGACTTGTGTCCAAAGATCTAATACAGCCAACAGAACATGGGACAACTAGAGAATAACAGTCAAGTCCACAGTGGAAGCTGGGCATGGTGATGAACACCTGTAATTAAATTAAATTAATTACAGCACCTGGGAGGCAGAGGCAGGTGGATCTCTGAGCTCGAGTCCTGCTTAGTCTACAGAGTGAGTTCCAGGACAGCCAGGGCGACATGGAGAAACCCTGTTTGACCCCCACCCCCTTCCAGCTCCCCGGTAACACAGCCAGTCTGATTTGTTCTTGTTACTAAGAACCCCTTGTAAGTCAGCTCTCCTCTCTCTGCTCCACGCCGAACACTTGGTTGCCCTCTTGCAGCACGCTGCTGAGCTGGAACAAAAACAGAATGAATCAGAGAACAGGAAACTTTTGGGAGAAATTGTGAAGTACAGCAATGTTATACAAGTAAGTCTCCATTTTGCCGTCAAAGAGGGAAGTGCTTTGTGGGTGACCTGTCAAATCACCCCCATGCCAAGCTGCATGAGACCCTTGTGGTGCTGTGTTTGTTCTCTGGTGGGGATGATCATTAGTATGAAGCGTTCAGTGAACATCCATCGTGTTGTGTATGTATTGAATATGTCTTGTGCCAGGCCCGACGGTGACGGCCTGCAAGCCCTGACATAGGCCACTTATGTGGGCACACAGAAAACTGACCTCTAGGCGGGAGCCTAAGTTACCACAGACAAGACTGTGCGAGAGGGTGTGAGAGGCCCAGAGGACACAGTTCTTGAGATGGATGGGCTGAAGCTCAGGGGCAGGGAAAGTTTTCAGAGTGCACATTAGGGGCAGTCTTCCTGTGGCTTTCAGTCCCCTTGTCAGTGTGCAAACGCTGGCTTATCTCCGCTGCATCCCTTCCCCATGCTTCATTCAGATCTTTTAGGCTTTTTATTTTGGTTCGTTTGCTAGTAAGTGCCCCACCTTGTTCCAAAAAGAATGTGAGACCTTTTCCAAGAAATACAGCACACTGAGAGATAAAGCCCGGGCTGCGGAAGGAGGCAACTGGGTCGAAGGAAAATAACAGGTGGCTGGATGAGACGAAGTCAAGGGTGAGCTTATTTAGAAAGTTTGGAAACTCCAGTCCACGGCATTGCTGCCACTACTTGGCCACAGGAAGGACCTTGTTGAGTCCTGGTAGTGGAGGTCTACAGCATAGCGCTCATCTGGAGGCTAGAAGCACAGATATTTCCAGAAGTGAAACCAGGAAAGTGTTTCTCTTGCGTGCTCATAAAGAGGACACTGTTTAAAATGGTAAACAATGGCCCGCACAGGTTCTTTACAGTAATCACCACAATGAGGCACTTTATAAGGTGGCTTTAAAGAATGTCTCCTGATCTTTTGTCATGGACCAATGGCAATGTGCCAAAGGGCAGGGCAAAGCTGTTCCCCACAGGACAGGAGAATGTGTGACCTCATCTAGTGATGGAGGGAGTGACTTTCGGCATGGTGGGACTGCATGCCCCTAAGTAGTCTTCCAGAGAGTGTCTCTGCATTGAGTTTTGGTGACTCATTTAAGATCCTTGTCAAGTACTTTAAGTACAAATGCTTGTCTTAGTTAGGGCTGCACTTTGTGTTTTGACACAGACCATGGAGTTGCATACTCGGGCTTGAGGGTGTGTGTGCACGCGTGCATGCATGCATGCATGCATATGTGCGTGCATGTGTGTGCAGGTGCATGAGTGTCTGTGTGTAGAAGCCTGAAGTCAACCTCATCTCAGGTGTTGTTCTTAGGAGCTGCCCCACGTTGTTTTTGGAGACTAGGTCTCTCACGGGCCTGGACTTGTGGATCCAGCGAGGCTGGCAGCCAGGGAACCCGTGGATATACCTCCCCAGTGCTAGGATTACAAGTGTGTGCCTCTTCACCCTGCTTTCTATTTTGACTTTCTCACTTGGGGGATTGAACTCAGGCCCTCATGCTTATAAGGAAGGCAACACTTGCTCACTTGAGCCATCTCCCAGACCCATGGATTTCCATGCTTTTAGCAGTACAATAACCAAGAGTAGGACCTGGAGTAGTGCAAAAAGATGGTTCTTTTTTCAATTAAAAGTTTGCCATTTTACTTTGGAATAACTTCTGCCTCATCTTATGGGAACTAAAATGTCCATTCTCTCTTGAATGATTTTGAAAATAGCTGGGAAGTTCATTTTGTCTTTGTAGTTAGGTTATGTTTTGGGAAGACGTCCTTGGCATCTGTAGAGATGGGAGAGGTAAGGGCTGGTCCTCCTCTATGCAACTCAGAGTGGAGGGTCAGATCTTTCCTGACTCTGAAGCTACAGAGGGAGTTAGTGCTGTCTATGGGCAGAGGTGCTTAGGGTGTGGAGTTGGTGTATACCTTCCCTCAGGCTTTGGTTTTCTTTAGCAGATTCTGTTTGTGTGGCTTTATGAGTATTGGAAGTGGGTGAGATTTCAGGGACCCTCCAGGTCCTTTTTTGGAAAGCCTAGTTTTAGTCTGTTATTTCTCAGTGGGTGAAGGTTAAGTCTTTAGTGTGCCCTGGTGTATCTTCCTCATGCAGTCACCATCACCCTTGAAGCAGAACTTGGGGTGGAGGTAAGGAGGAGACAAGTGGCTTGGAGAGTTGGTGGTGGCTGAGCCTTAAAAGAATTCCCATGTTTAGTTTCCAGCATGCATTGTGGTGTGCGGATTTATGAATATAACTACCCGAGGAGACCATGGATACAGGCTCTAACACACGTCTTTCCCCTGCAGCTACTGCATATAAAAAGCAACAAGTATCTGACTGTCAACAAGAGGTTACCCGCTTTACTGGAGAAGAATGCTATGCGTGTGTCACTAGATGCTGCGGGGAATGAAGGGTCCTGGTTCTACATTCATCCCTTCTGGAAGCTGAGAAGCGAGGGTGATAATGTAAGTATGGACATGTGAAATCAAGAGGGAGCAAACAGCACATAATGTTCTTAGAGAACTCAGGAAGTACGAGAAGGGAAATACAGTCTTCAGCTAGTTAATTCTAAACTATTGAAGTTAGCATATGAAATAATGGGTTGCATTATGGCAATTTAGCACGTATGTGTCATTGTACTTTCTAACACATTTGGTGTTAGCATTTTTTAAACTACGTTAAATGCATTTGTTTACAATGTACACCATGCTCAGAAATCACAGGACAGAGTTCAGCTCAAGTTGGAGTCATCTCCGGCCAGACCATGTGAAGCATTTTCAAAGAGGCAGGTTACTTTCCTGCTTAGTCAGGATTGGACTTGCTTGCAAGGAAGAGGGCCACCATGGCACCTAGCCTTTTGAATGAACAGGGAACAGTGAGAGTCGTGACAGTGTTCCAGTCAGTATCCTCACAGCCAGCTTCTTACAGTGTTGCCACAATGTGCAGTGTTTGAGGGGCTGTGACATTTCCTCCTTGTCCTGACTATAAAGTGGGTTGTGCAAATGGCCTTGATGCTATCATTGTCTAGAGCAGTGGTTCTCAACCTTCCTAATGCCAAGACTCTTTAATATAGTTCCTCATGTTGTGCTGACTCCAACCATAAGATTAATTTTGTTGCTGCTTTGTAACTATAATTTTGCTACTGTTGTGAATTGTAGTGCAGACATCTGTGTTTTCTGATGGGATGGTCTCAGGTGACCCCTCTAAAAGGTTCATCAAGTCCCAAAGGGATTGTAACCCACAGGTTGAGAACCATTGGTTTAGATCTTTCCTGCTATTTTGTAGAAGAAAAAAAATGTGAGATAACTTCCTAGGAACCATTGCTTCATCTTATTTATTTATTGAGATGGCACCTCACTATATTCTTGCCTGACTTGGCACTTGTTACGCAGTGTAGGCTGGCCTCAAACTTGTATAGGTCCTCCTGCCTCAGTACCAGCCTACTGACTGCTGGGATAATAGGTGTGCATCACCACATCCGGCTAACAATTTGGTATTTTTGTGGTAGTCCTGAGCACTTAGAAGATGCTCAGTGAAGGCAGGTTTATAAGTAGAACTCCTTACAAATGCCAGGTGATATGTACTTGCCATGTGAAAAAGTTAATGTGAATTCTGACTGAAGTGAAAATGTAATTCTCCTGTCAGAGTTTTCACAATCAATACTTTGTTTACATCTTTCGTGTGTTGGGAGGTATTTCTTATGTTAGAAATGTCTTTTTTTTTTTTTAATAGAGCATCTCTTTTTTCCAGTGAATTTTAAAGTACAAATTCAATTCCACAGGACATGAGCGCCATGATTTAATTGGGTTAATAAATTTTCTGGTGATGTCTTCCTTAGGTAAGGCTTGCAATGCATGGCATGCAGGGATGTATTGGATTCCTTGGAAAACCAGTGCCGCACCCCCACCCCCATTTACTTTTGACATTAAGTGATGTGTGCTGTGAGCATGGTGCATCTTTATTCTAATGTGTAGTTAATTACAATCAACTCTCGATTATTCAAGGGCTAAAATGCAGTTTATGAACTACACACTTCCCTTGTACGCTGTTCCTAACCCCCAGCTCCTACGTTGTCCTCTTTGGTGGCCCATGAAAACTAGACATCAAGTCAAACAAATCCTAACTAAGCTCAGACTATGAAAGAATTCGTTCACTGATGCCAGGAGCCTCGGCTTTAGGCTGCTGTGGATTTCATGATCCCCTCTGCTTACTCCCCTTTCTCTTCCTCCTGCTGCTTGCACACTGCTTGATAGTATCAGGAGAGAGTTGAATGTAACCAACTACTTTAGACAATTAGTTTCAGTAGGAAATTGGAACAAAACAAAGCCTTTCACTCAAACCCCTGTCTTGTGGCCGCCCACGACGCCTTGGTTGTTCTTATCTGGATGCACTCCACAAAGCCCCGCTGCAACAGCCTTCCACCTTCTGACTGACACCGTCACTGTGTTCGTTCACCTCTGTGTAGCTTTGTGTGTGAGGAAGGTTACCAAGGAAGGCTGGCATGTCCACAGCCTTGTATTAGCCACACATGGACTTGTATGCAACTTCATTTTCTTGGCTAGGAATAGGCAGTGTTTTGAAACGTCAAACTACTGTAGTTTGTTGAAGGCAGTTGCAAGGTCTCTTTGAGTGGTTTAATCATGACTGAGATTTTGCATAAGTATATTAAATGAAGAGGAAATTGCAATGTTCAGAGGAATTTTAAAATTAGAGTTTGCTATTTAGCAATGAGTGAAGTAGTGACTTAGGTTGTGTATATTCAACAAGAAGTTCTTCAAGCTCAAGTGGAGAACGATGCGGATGGCAGCCTGGAGGACAAGCTGCTCCTTACACTAAGTGCATGAAGGTGCGCTGGGTAGGAATGCACGGTTTGGGAAGCGGGTTCACAGGTCCCTTTACTCTCAGCTACATAGAAAGTCCTGGGTTGCTGCTAAGTAACTGGAAAAGTTGCTGAGGACACCCATGAGCAGAAAACATTAACATTTCATTTCCACGTGTCCTCTTTAGTTTGAGTAGATTCTTTCATTTTCAGTCTTGACCCAAGAAGACAGGATCCTTTACACTGAAAGTGGATTTAGAAGCATGAGGAGGTGGGATTCTTTTGTAAGTCAGTGGAAAATTCTGCTTACTGAGGGGCTCTATTGAGCAAGCAGATTTTGTGATTTTATAAAATGACAAGCCTGCCGTTTCTAGTGGAGGTGGAGCTGGAGCATTGGTACTCTGAGCCTCATGGGGGGGGGTCCATTTTACTGTCCCAGGTAGCACTTCAAGTCACAGGTGGCATTCTTGTTAGTGAAATCCCAGCTTGAGTGTGGCATGGCCACTGTAGACCCAACAGAAGTGCTTTGGGAATTTCAAATTTATTTCTTAAAATATGCACTACTGGAGTGGTGAGGTAGTTGATTGTAAGATGTAAAATAAAAGGGCCTCACCCTCTGGTTATATATCAAATAGACAGTTTCTTAGTGTCTAGCTGTGTCAGCAGTTCAGGCCTGAAGCCTCACTCTTCAGAGAATAACTCCAACATATCTACTAATGTGAATTCCCTGAGATTATGAACTATTTCTTATATACATCTGCTTTTTCCTAGCTCCACCTAAGTGTTATCTAAAAAAGATTTGCTTATCTTTATTTTCTGTTTATGAGTGTTTGCCGGCATTCAAGGGGAAGGTTGGATGAGGTCTAGAGACCTGTCTTGCAAACAGCAGATGCTCATCCCACAAACACAAGGGGAAGCCTTCCTGTGTTTGGTTCTCTAGACACAGTTTGTGGCCACACAACTCCTAAACATTATCCACTTAGGGTCATGTGACACTGGAAATATGAGCACGTGTTTTGGTTAAGGTACATGGAGATTGTTCTGAGTCCCAATTGTTTTCTTGTTTTCATATCAAACTGATCTTTAATTGTTCTAATATGTAATTGGTGTGAAACACACAAAGGGAAGGTTTTTAATTTTGCTACATTCACAGTTGGGAATGTAAATGCCATATAACCATCTTCTAAAGAAATTAAGGGGGGCTGAAGAGATGGCTCAGTGGATAAGAGCACTGGCTGCTCTTCCAGAGGTCCTGAGTTCGATTACCAGCAACTACGTGGTGGCTCACAACCATCAATAGTGGGGTCTGATGCCCTCTTCTGGCATAAAGGCATACATACAGATAGAGCACCTGCATACGTATATAAAATAAATAAGTCTTAAAAAAGAAAACAAACAAAAGAGCACTTGAGTAGTATGAGTCTCTCCAGTTACTAAAATCACACTGTTATTGCCATGAAGAAAAGGTAATTTTAATTCCCTCAAATTGAATTAGATATAAAGATTTTTGCAAGTAAAGTAGACATTGCCACTATCACACAGATGAATATAAACACAGACTTGGATTTTTTTAGTACTTTCCCCTGGAACCCTGATAATTCTTATTTTTAAAAGAAACATGGGTGTAGCTTGAGTTTTCCTGCCTGGCTCAGGGTCAGGGCAAATCTCTCTCACCTGCCAGTCCCACAGCCGCTCAGACCCGACCAAGTAAATACAGAGACTTATATTGGTTACAAACTGTATGGCCGTGGCAGGCTTCTTGCTAACTGTTCTTACAGCTTAAATTAATCCATTTCTATAAGTCTGTACCTTGCCACATGGCTCGTGGCTTACCAGAATCTTCACATGCTGTTTGTCATCGTGGCGGCTGGCAGTGTCTCTCTGACTCAGCCTACCACTTCCCAGCTTTATTCTCCTCCCTATCCCGCCTACACTTCCTGCCTAGCCAATGGCCAATCAGTGTTTTATTTATTGACTAATTAGCAACACATTTGCCATACAGAACATCCCACAGCACTTCCCCCATTTTTTTTTTTCAAAAAGGAAGGTTTTAACCTTAACAAAGTAAAATTACATATAACTTGGGAATTTGGGCGTAGCTTCTCTTACTACTTCCTGCTGGAGGGGGGCGCTGTATCTTATGGGGACACAAAGATAATTTTAGGATTATGGAGTAGTCTGTGAGGCTGTATCATCTGAGCCAGTTGCCTTGAAACCATTCTGGATGTTGGATCATCTGGGCCATGGTGTCATAGGAGACTTTTCAGGGGGTCTTGGCTGGTCAAACCTGATGTATCTTAATCTGGAACAAATCCATAGCCTTTGGCTTTCTGTGGGAACAAAAGCAGAGTCTCCTTTCCAAAACAACATATCCTTATATTTAAATTTTGAAGTCAAGATACCTTTAAAATATACATTTTGGCGTAACTCAACAGCTTTTACAATCAAATGTTTTTCTGCAGTTAAAAGTCCCAAAGAAAACACAATCCAGATTCTCTGTGTAATATCCATTTTTACGTGGCTTATTTTTTATACTACCTTTACTGTCTCTTTAAAGACTTTATTTTTTAAAACTATGTATTTGTTTCTATAACTCTATATATCACCTTTTTTGTCTCTTTCAAGCCTACGTATCTTTTACACACATTGTAAACTATTACATCTGAATCTGTCTTATTGTGAATCTCTTGCTTTAAACTGCAGCAGCTGTGGCTGCTGGCTCCGCCCACCTCAGCTTCCCAGCATGGCTACGTTTACCACCAGCTCTGGTAGCTATCGTGGGTCTATGCTTTTATCCAAGCAGCGTGTAGTCCAGAAACCTCTTTTTTTTTTTTTTTTTTTTTGTACTAGCAAAGTCTAAATCCACCACACAGCTTAATGTGCCACTTGCAGAGGCCTCATTCCCGCCATACTGCAGGTCCAGCGTACAAGCTAGGAACCCACCAGTAGCTCAAACCAGCAGCTGCTGCTCATTTGAGAGAGACAATTAGGAAGCTGTTTTTAGCTCCGTTTTAGAATCTTTTTTTCTCAGTTTTTAGTTGGAAACTCTTGCCACCACGTTGGACGCCATTTGTAGCTTGAGTTTTCCTGCCTGGCTCAGGGTCAGGGCAAATCTCTCTCACCTGCCAGTCCCACAGCCGCTCAGACCCGACCAAGTAAACACAGAGACTTATATTGGTTACAAACTGTATGGCCGTGGCAGGCTTCTTGCTAACTGTTCTTACAGCTTAAATTAATCCATTTCCATTAATCTATACCTTGCCACATGGCTTGTGGCTTACCGACATCTTCACATGCTGTTTGTCATTGTGGCGGCTGGCAGTGTCTCTCTGACTCAGCCTTCCACTTCCCAGCTTTATTCTCCTCCCTGTCCCGCCTACACTTCCTGCCTAGCCAATGGCCAATCAGTGTTTTATTTATTGACTAATTAGCAACACATTTGCCATACAGAACATCCCACAGCACATGGGCTCCTACAGTTCTGGTTTTGGATGTTTCAAGTAAGAGGGAACCAGATGCTCCAGGCCAGACAAAGCATAGATTTTTACAAGGTCATGCCCTGCCTTGTGTTGCCTGTATCCAGATGTCAGATGCCTTATAATTCTGAGATTCGAGATGAATGGTTAACCAGACTTGCCTTTCAGTCAGAAGGGAGCATGGAGGGATGTGTTCTCTGCTGCTCTGATAAGACTCTGACACTTGAGGAAAGGAGTGTCCTGGCAGCTATCTTCACTGTTTCTGCTGCACAGTCTTTTGGGAGGAAAATAGCCTAATTCTGACCTTTGAGGCGCTCCAGTTGACATGGAGACTAATGCGGAAAGGGTCTGAACTGTCTTCAAGAGTAGGGTTTGGCAGGCAGCAGAGGATCTGACTGCATGATCATGTATTTGAACATGCTTCTCAGGAGTTACAAGTTACAGTGTGTAGAATGACAGGTCCAGGAGGCAGGTTGCTGGTGAGGATTGCTGGGATGTTTCCAGCCTCACAGAGCATCAGGGTATGTTTCTGATCCCTAGATCGTCGTAGGAGATAAAGTTGTTCTGATGCCCGTAAACGCTGGGCAGCCCCTGCACGCCAGCAACGTGGAACTCCTGGACAACCCAGGCTGCAAAGAGGTGAGTCCAGGCAGGAAAGGAGAGGGTGTTGGTTTTCTCTAGAGGGAGGGAGGGAGGGAGGAAGAGAGAAAGAGGGAGGGAGAGAAGGAGAGAAAAAGGGACAGGATAGAAGGAGGGAGGCCTTGCCGTTTCCTGATTCTCTCAGCACCACCCCACTACTGTTAGCATCCGTGGGCATCTGTAGGAACTAGCTGTTTTTGAATGGTCCTCTGAAGATGTTTTTATCGAGGCCACACTTCATTGTTCATAGTTGTCTCTTTTCTTCTCTTCCTGTTTGGAATGGTAATTTGGGGACAGGATATAGAGTCTACTGCCATGTCTTTCAACGTTTGTTCCATGAACAGGTGAATGCTGTTAATTGTAACACGAGCTGGAAAATCACTTTATTCATGAAATTCAGTTCCTATCGGGAGGACGTATTGAAAGGGGTGAGTAAGCTCTCCACACAAACCTCCATTTTCATGTATTCCACTGAGCACCAGCCCCCAGGAATCTGAAATGTGCCCATAGTCACCCAAGGGACGTCACTGGCCCTGAAGCCCAGAGTGCCCAGACCAGAAAGGAATTGCCAGGTCTCCTATTTGCTGGTCCTGGTGACTGTTGGAAGGCCAGTCTTTCTTCACCTGTCTCTCCAGGGTGATGTTGTGAGACTGTTTCATGCCGAACAAGAGAAGTTTCTTACCTGTGATGACTATGAGAAAAAGCAGCACATTTTCCTTCGAACGACCTTGCGTCAATCAGCAACTTCAGCTACTAGTTCTAAGGCACTCTGGGAAATAGAGGTATGTACTTTTTTGGGGGGGAGGGACTTTTACTAATATTTAGATAAAAAGATAAAGATATACTAGGCTGTTGGCTTTGCTGCTATGTGCAACATTGGTGGCATATTCATAACATGGAATGATTTTTGTGAATTAACACATTTCTTTGTGGCTATGACCAATTTGACAGGAATATGTCATAATGGAACCCATTACAAAGCAGAACAAATAGATCAAGTGTTTGGAAAGAGAAAAAAGTCCACTAGGAACTCGTCAGTGCTGATCAGACTGGAAGCCGTGAGCCTCTGTGGCCCTGCCTGGGCCATGGCTGGTGGAGGCAGACACAACTTATAGCCACAGAGAATGGTGCATATTTTTTCTTTGAATGCCATCGAAATCAAGAGGCTCATAGTTATGAATGCTATTCACCAGGCTGAGACAGGAGGACAGTCACAAGTTTGAAATCAGCCGGGTCTCCTAAGCGAGTTGAAAGTATGGTTGTTATGCAAGTCCTGGAAAGGGCTTCATGCAGCCTGTGGGGGCCTGGTGTGGTGCTGGTGTCTTGCCCAAACCTTTCCAATTCTGTAGTCCAATAATAATATATATTAGATAGAGTCTCACTTCATAGTCCAGGCTGGCCTGGGACTCACTGTGCAGCATAAAGTGACCCTGAACTTTTTGGCAATCTTTGTACCTCATCACCCCAAGTACTGGGATTTTATCCATGAGCCACCATCCCCTGACAGGAAACATGCCTTTTGCATTAAGACAGTGTTTTCAGGTGTGAGGCATGGACATCCCTCGAATGAGGTATGACATGTCTCTCACTCACCGTTGGAAATTTTTGTTTTCCTTCACATTGTGTTGGATGGGTTGGCATGCTCTGCAGGGTACGCTGGCTGTGGGCACTGGCTGGCATGTGGATAACATTTGTTGTTGAAACTCCTCCTCTTTAGGTGGTTCACCACGATCCATGCCGTGGCGGTGCAGGACAGTGGAACAGCCTGTTCAGATTTAAACATCTTGCAACTGGGAACTACTTAGCCGCAGAGGTGAGACTGTCAGGCACAGTGTTGTTCAGTCTCCGTCTGAAATAATGAACCAGGCAACCCCTTTCTGCAAAAGTCATTGTGTTGTCAGGGACAATTTCTGTAATTTCATTATTGCCTGTCATGCCTGGGGTGGCGTTTTGTTATTTTTCCTGTTGTTATGATAAAATACCCTGACAAAAACCTCAGGTGAGAAAGGAGTTATTTTGGCTCATGGCTAAAGGATACAGTCCATCGTGGTAAAGTTAGGGCAGCAGAACTTGAACTAGCCAGTCAGAGATGATGAGAGCTGCTGCTTTTCATACAGTCCAAGATCCCAGCCCAGGGAATGGTGCCACCCACAGTAGTCAAGTCTTTCTGCCACAGCCTTCTCAGGATAATCCCCAGTTGATACGCCCAGAGACCCTTCTTTCAGCTGATTCTAGATCTCAAGTTGGCCGTTGTAGTTAACCATCCCAGTTAGACTATGAATGACTATTTTGTGTTTGTATATGTAATGTATGTATGTTTGTATGTGTTAATGTGTGTGTGCAGGATAAATGTGCATGTGGGGACTTGTGTATGGAGACCATCGATCAGCTTCATGTCTTTTTGCTCAGAATTCCTTCCACCGTGGATTTTGAGATAGGGTCTCTCACTTTTACTGGAGCTAGCTGATTAAGCTAGGCTACTTGGCCAGGGATCCTCTGTCTTTACCTTCCTAGACCTGGGACTATAGATGATGTACAACTACCCAGCTTCTTTTGAATTTCCTTTTCCTTTTTTCTGTGTGGGTTCTGAGGATCAAACTCAGGTCCTTGTATCTGGCTCTTTACTGGCAGAACGATCTCTCTGGCCCTGGCGCTGGAACTATTTTTAAGATGAAAACATTAGCCAAAGACTTAAAAATCCAAACAGCCAAAACAGTGGCTGGGAGCGTAGCTCAATGCAGAGCATGGGATTAACATGTGGAACAAGCCCTGGTTCCATCCCCAGCATGACAGCAGCCACCAGGCAAGCAGAAGCCACTGTTTTGCCGATGTATGCAGTTCTATGCGGTGTCTCTCTCCACACATCTGTGTGTTACAGACATGGTTGTTCCCTTTGGGTGTTGTGTAGCTCAGGCGGTCTCAGGCTCATATTCTTTATCCATCCCTTCATGAGCAGCTGGCTTTTATGGCTCACACTGTGGAGAGGGAAGGGACTCTTTCCCATGTGCCGAGCTACCCTAAAACATCCAGTACAAGTGGGAAAGCATCTCAAGGATTTGATTACGTTCTTTTCTGTTGCTGTGATAAAGTACCCTACGGGACAGTCTGAGGGAGAGAGGGGGCTGCTTATGGCTGGGAAGTCTTGGCTACAGGCAGGGAGGTCATGGCTATGGGCAGGGAGGTCCTGACTACGGACAGGGAGGTCCTGACTACGGGCAGGAAGGTCCTGACTACGGGCAGGAAGGTCCTGACTACGGGCAGGGAGGTCCTGACTACGGGCAGGAAGGTCCTGACTATGGGCAGGGAGGTCCTGACTATGGGCAGGGAGGTCCTGACTACGGGCAGGGAGGTCCTGACTATGGGCAGGAAGGTCCTGACTATGGGCAGGGAGGTCCTGACTACAGGCAGGGAGGTCATGACTACAGGCAGGGAGGTCATGACTACGGGAACTGGAAGCTGGCTGATCACATTGCACTTGTATTCAGGAAGCTCAGAGTAAACAGGAAGTGCAGCAAGGCTCTAAAACTTCAAAGCCTGCCCCCTACTGACAGTTGGGTCCCCAAGACAGCAGGGCCAGTTGCTGACCAAGTGTTCAAATATATGAACCTGTGGGGGCATTTTATGTTCTCACCGTAACAAGGCCCTTTTCTCTACTAAAAGCATATGGACAATGAGAGATAAAGGAAGCTTAGGAATAAACTCAGGGGGCTGGAAAGATGGCTCAGTAGTGAAGAATACCTGCTGATCTTCCAGAGGACTCAAGCTCCGTTCCCAGAACCCATGTCCGCTGACTCACAACTGTTCCTGTAACTCCAGATCTAGGGGATCTAACGCTTCTGGCTTTTGAAGGTATCTGTGGTCATGTGCACTGGCATGCACACACACACACACACACACACACACACACACACACACACACACGTGCACACACATATAAATAATAAAAATATATTCTTTTCTTTGAAATAAATAACATCAAGAAGTCTTAGAAATGATTTAAATTTACAAATAATACTGAAACTATTTTCCAGTGTATAAACACCCATTCACTTTGCTCTCCTTCATACCTTTTAATCTGGAGTTTCTTTGGGGTGTATCCATCAGGATGGGGTTTAGACTTCTTCCTATTCTCTGGCATCTGTGAGGAAGGGTAAAGAAGGGAGCAGGCTTGGAAGACTGATGAGGGGAGAGTATGGGGAGTGGATGGGTCCTGTACACCGGTGGGGTGACTGTGTGACCTTGGGGTACCCTCACCTCCTTGCCTATCATGTAACATTTTCACAGAACCTACCACCTGAGTCACTGTGGTTCTGAGTGACTTAACCACCTGATGATGATGAGGCTTTCTGAAGGCTGCGTTTCCCCCATCATTAGTCTCCACAGCACATTAGAGCAACATCTTTTCCCTGTAGAGTGTTGAGGGCTATGCTTTGAATGAATGAATGAGCATAAGGAAACTGTCCAGGTTACCCTGAGATGAGAGACTGGGAAGGTTTCAGAGCTTCTGTGTTGGCATTGTTGGGACCTGTTTGGGGCAGTCATCTCTCTAAACTCCTTGTCCCTGCTTGGCAAATTGAGCACAGTCAGGGACTTAGTTAATTCTCCTACTTGAACAAAGTAACAGTGCATGCTTGACACGTGCTGTAAGTGCCATGGCTCAAGGCCAGCATAGCCAGCTTCGTCGGATTCGCCCAGGGGTTCCTCCTTATTGGTCTCTGACCAAAGGAAAGCTGTCTTTGAAATTTGTGCTGTTCATACCGTAAATGTTTGGTGCAGTTCTCTGGAAGGAGAATGTCCAGTGTGGTGAGAATCTTGTCTAAAAGAGGAATTTGAAGAGCATCAGGAGATGTCCTAGGGAAGAGGATTACCTTCCCCTTGGAGCCTGTGTTGGTGGCTTTTTCCTCCCTGTTCCTGTTTTCAGTTAATGCACTGGTAGCTGGGAGGGTCCACACGAAGCTGGCATGATACGCACAGCTGGTGTCAGTTTCCGTAATTAAAATACATACACAAGTGATTAGGTGATTAAGTCTAACTGTCCATCACGAATCCCGAGACCTCAATATGAAGGTGGATTAACTACAAGCTGACGGACAAGGAGCAGTTCCTTTCTTGTAAAGAACTCAAGACTGTCTTTCCGTTCTGTCTCTAGAACGTACAACTTTTAATGCAGATGTTGTTTGGTATGGAAGATTTGAAGGCCCTTTTCTGTGACCTTTAATTCTTTGAGTAACATCTTTTTCAGTGGCAGAGTGAGAGAAGGAGAATTAAGCACTAAATGTGTGTCATGAAATGGACGAGGACTCACTACTGACTGTCAGAAAGGCTGCGTCCATGGAGAATTCCAACATGGAAGGCATATGCCTTTCTAAGACTGGCGTGCCCAAGCTAGGCTTTGATATTTCCTAGGTCAGTTGTTTTGAGATCCCAATATACTCAGATGCCAGGATGCTAGTCTTCTCAGTGTGAAAGGTATCTAGAGATGATACTTGATTAAAAAATAATTTCCATCCAGGAAATAGGTGACAAACAGCTTCTGAGAATCACTGAGAAAATCACAGTGACCCTCTTACTACTTTGCATTTACTTACTTATTTAGGTACATAAATGCTGCTGCTGGTGTGTGTGTGTGTGTGTGTGTGTGTGTGTGTGTGTGTGTGTGTGTGTGTGTCTGTCTGTCTGTCTGTCTGTCTGTCTGTCTAGGTCAGAGGCAAGCTTGCAGGAAGTGTTTCTTTCCTTCTCATGGGGTCCTGGAGATTGAACTCAGGTCCTTAGGCTTGGCAACAAGCTCCCTTGCCTTCAGAGCCCTCTCACTGGCTATCAATTTCTTTCCCATCCAAGTCTTTGACTTCAAAGCATTGTGCATGTCATCAGATAACTCTGGGATCCCCAATGTTGTGAGCCTCAGCCTCCTGGTATTAATTGGTTTATTCTATCAGTGTATACCTTTCATCTTCTTTGTGGCTCTGGTTTATCTACACTTTAACTTTTCAGTGTTTTAATTATTACTTTAAAAAAACAAGATGTTGGAAACACAAAGAGTTAAGAATGATTAGTTTTAGGATTTGTATAAACAGCCAGTATCAGGGCTGGGGACACAGCTCAGGGACAGAGCACTTCTGTGGCATGTGAGGAGCACATATGAGGCCCTGGGTTCCAAACCCAGCACTTTAGCAAAGAGAGAAAGGTACCAACCAGCAAGCTAACAAAAATAGCAAGCAGTGTTGTTAGACTCCGAAGACCTTCGGTCTAGGTTTGTTTAGTGCTTGACATGTGTCTTATTAGGGATGAGGGAGAAAGCTGCAGGAACCACCAGGGAAGTGGAAGAGCTGGTCTTTGTTCTCTGGCTGTGACCACTTAGCTCAGAAGACAGTCTGTCTTAAGCCAACACAGACTCCATGCAAGATACTATGGTGTTACCAGCTCTGCTGTTGGCACCATGAGGTTAGTCACAGAAGGGCCCTGTCTGGGGCAAGTAGTTCCCTGGTTCTCAGGGAACAGCATAGACGAGTTGGCAGATAAATCAGAGGACAATCTGTGTAGAAGTCACCTAGGAGGTACAGACAGGGACAGGACAGAGATCATACAGACAGGGACAGGACACAGATCATACAGACAGGGACAGGACACAGATCATACAGACAGGGACAGGACACAGATCATACAGACAGGGATGAGTGTCTTAGAGTTTCTTTCTTTCTTTCTTTCTTTCTTTCTTTCTTTCTTTCTTTCTTTCTTTCTTTCTTTCTTCCTTCCTTCCTTCCTTCCTTCCTTTCTTTCTTTCCTTCTTTCTTTTTTAAAAGTTTTATTCTATAT